CTGCTTTTGCTTTTATTGAATTCCTTCTGACAATTTTTGCTACTTTTTTGCAAATTGTAAATTTTTTCTAGTATTTTAGAAATATGTCTGCTTTTTTCTGTTAATTTTTTCTTTTTTGTGCTTCTTTCGCTATTTTGAGTTATTTTTGCTTCTCACAGTTGCTCTCAGCTATTTTAGCTTTTTATGCTAATTCAGCTATATTTTTGCTCTTTTTACTGATTTTCTGCCCTTTTTTTTGCTTCTTTCAGATTTCCAAGTTTAACTTGTAATAAAACTTTTGCTATTAAACATTTTCAGCTCAATTTCAGCAGCTTTCAGCTAAAGTTTTCAGCAACAGGCATTCAGACTAGCATTTTTGCAGGAAATGCAATTCTCTAGTGTGTTTTATTTTCTGTGTTGTTCCCAGGAAGAATAGTCTCTGCCTCAGCAGAGACTAATTGGGTACCATAAATAAAACTAAAACTTAACATACGGCAGATGATTTATTTCTGAAACTGTGGCATGAGAGGCAGCAGGTGATTCCCTGAAGTTTGACCAGCACTCAGTAATAACGTGATTAGAGGAGAAGCAGACACTAACCCAGAGTGAAGGCTCTGAAGTACAGCACAGGAGCAGCGTAGCTGCAGGAGTACAGGACGTGATACTCAAACTGAAGCACCGAGCTGCTGCTGCTGCTGCTGAGCTCAGACACACAGCAGCTGCTGTCTTCTTCATCCTCCGGCTCACCTGAGGAGCTGCTGGCATCAGGTGAGGCAGCGCAGACCGGCTGAGAACAAACACAAACAGAAAAACAATCCTCTGACGAATTATCAACTTGTGATGATTTCAAAATAAAAACCACAAACACAGACGTTTGTTGGTCCCCTTAAACGCAAATGATCAGTCCCAGAAACTGAATCAGGTTATTTGCCGTAGCGGAGCCTCGTGGGTTTTCCTCTATTGTCGTTTAAAATGTGACGGATGCTGTGACCAGAAAATGTTTCAAATGGTTTTTAATACCGTTCACACTGCATCCCATCAATAAGGGGGCGCATTTCGTCTTGCGTCCACTTCCTGGGAGTTTCCTGAACATTCTACTTTTTACTAACATTATCAGAATAAGAACACTTTATTGATCCCCGAGGGAAATTACAGGTATTTCAGCTGCAACCATTCAGATCAGAGACATGTGAAAGACAGAAATAAGCACACTAGAAAAAAAAATGAGTACTAACACCTGGGATTACAAAATAAACACACATATGTACACAAACAATATACAATAAAAAATAGAAACATGGATAATATGGATATCTAGAATATTCACATGATTCAGCCGTCTTTGTTTCTGCTCCATGTTCAGTGTGAGGATCACAACAACAACAAACTGTAGTTTGTTCACTTTAAAGAAGTTTGATCAAATGCTTGAAAATACATGTATAAATCAAATATTATTGGTTTCTTTAAAACCAACTAATCTGTTGATAGTATTTTAGTATATCTCTGTAAAATTAACAACATAATTGTTCCATATCTTGTTTATTTTATCACACACAGTTTTAAAGGCCTACATGACTGAATGAGTGAAACTCAGCTTTATGGGATGAATAATGTCTTCATGTGTACTTCAGTACCTGCTCCTCTTGTGGAGAGCTCAGGCCGGGGGTCCAGGTGTGTGAGCCTAGCTCCTCCTGTCTCTCTGGTGCCGGGGCTGTCCTCAGAGCGGTCTTCTTCAGGTAGCCTTCTGAGCCCTGAAATCATTCCAGCACATGACGCAGACTTTAGAAACTTTGCTTCAAATCTGCCCTGGGTTTGAAAACGCAAACACTCCTCCTCCTTACCTGGACCACTTCCCAGCTCCAGCCGTCTCTCAGCCGCTCCGACTGCTGCAAGAGGAGCCGACAGCACCGGTGGAACTCCTCCTCGTCCAGAACGCACCAGCTCATCTCTGCTTGGGAGCATGGAGGAGAAACAGGAGGAGAATAGGATTATTTGAAGGAATGCACATGGTGGATGACTCTAAGTTACTACCACAACAAATATTAGCTTTATACAGCGGGTAAAATAAGTATTGAACACGTCACCATTTTTCTCAGTAAATATATTACTAGAGGTGCTAATGACATGAAATTTTCACC